GCTTTAGTCTACCTGCATGTGGTAATTTCTAAGAGATTACTTGATAAGATGGTCTAGGAATTGGTACAAAGTCAAGGAAAGCTAGATGGATTTCTCTAAAGTAATCCAAAATGCACTTGGCACTCTCTTAGTATCCAGTAACTTTTCTTTCAAACACAAACACATTCCTGTTTTTTCAGATTTTCCACAAAGCAACAATAAAAGTAGTATACCAAGAAAGGTCCTTATTGAAATGGTTTTTGTTCTTAACATTACTTATAAGCCAATCCATCCAAGGTTTCCCCCTCGTATCAAAGTACCAATGTTTACCAAAAATAGTAAGCTAAACTTCTTTGGCCTAATAACACTCTCTAAACAAATGATTGATGCCCTCAACCCTACTGCAATTGGGGCATTGAGAATTATTTGTTAAGCCTCTTTTCATTCTCATTTGATTAGTAAGCAATTTGCTATGAAGCACAGTCCACAAGAAACCTTTAAGTTTTTTTGCGGTAATCTAAGCTTTCACAACCAATTTCAATTCTCTTCATTATCATTACTCAAAATAAAATCATACACAGAGGAGACAAAAAAAAGCCCCATCAGGAGACCCCTTCCACAGAAGAATATCCTTGTCCAGATTTCTTGGAGGGTTAGAATTCAAAATTAGAGCAACCAATTAGGGTGAAAATTTGCTATACACAATACCCTCATCCCAGTTGTCATCCTCCCCCAAAAGCTCCTCTCACATGATCACTCCCAGAGGGATCACTCTGATAAGGAAGAATAATATTTGAGATAGTTTCCTTAAAGGAACTATCTTCACACCACCAATCTCTCCAAACATTGACAGATTTACCATCACCCACTTCACAGCTTTTCTCAATATATTCCTGGTGTTCAAAATATCTTTCCATAAATGAGAAGCATTTCTTCCTCTCTTCTAGTCATGGAGAGAGGTTTTATTTAAGTATTTCTTCTAGAGAACATCACACCACAAACCATCTTTATTACTAATAAGGTTCCAATCCAATTTAGAGATCAAAGCCAGGTTTTGATCCCCTTGCTTTCTTGATCTCTAGACCCCCATTTTTCGATATTGCACTCCACATCCTAATTAGCAAGATGGACTTTCTTTTTCTCCATAGTATTACCCTAGAGAAAATTCATGTTCAATTTATTAATGCCATTACACACATTTCTGGGTAAGAGCATAGTTTGCATGGTGTAACAAAGAATAGCAGAAGTCACAAATTTTATGTGTAGCTCTACCTACCATGGATAAGGTATTAGCTTTCTACCCAGCCAATCTTTTTTGCATTTTGTTTAAAAAATCAGTGAACAACCTTCTAGTTACTCTGCCATGTAAAAAGGGCACACCCAAATCAGATGAAAGTGGGATCGCACATTTAGTACTAAGTTCTCTAGCTCTCATTTCATCAACATTAGAAGAGATAAAAAGCTTAGACTTATGAGAGTTAATTTTCAACCCATAAATACTACAAAACTCATCCATAACCTCCATGATTGTCTCACAGGTGGGCATAGTTGTCTACCCAAACAGCATAAGATCATCAGCAAAAAGGAGATGAATAAGGCTTGGCCTACCTCTAGTAATCTCCACACCTTTCCAACTTTCTTCCTCTACTTTAAAAATGGTCATATTTGACAATATTTCAAGGCAATGCACAAACAGATAAGGAGATAGAGGATCCCCTTGTCTTAAATCTCTTAGAGGTTTGAACTCCTTCAGGGGTTCACCTTCCCAAATGACAGCAGTGCTGACAGTAGTAACACAACACATGATAAGCTCAATAAAGTTTGTGTCCAAATTAAATTCCTCAAGAGTTTGTTTTAAAAAATTCCAAGAAATATTATCATAAATTTTTTCCAAATCAACTTTTAAAATCATACCACCCTTTTTACCTTTCTTTTGATTCAAAGAGTGTATGATTTATTGAGAAATTATAATATTATCACTCGTATTTCTACCAAGTATGAAACTACTTTGGTTAGGTCTCACAATCTTGCTTAAAAAAGGCATGATTCTACTAACAATGATTTTGGAGATAATTTTGTATGAGACATTACACAGGCTAATAGGCCTAGACTGCTTCACATTCTCGAGATTATCAATTTTAGGAATCAAAGCCACTAAGATTTTGTTAACATCACTAGGGATTTGATTGTTATGAAAACAGTTTTTAACATATTCACAAATAGACTTACCCATCACATACCAAAAAATATGATAGAACATAACCTGAAAACCATCCCTTCCATGGGCTTTGAAGGCACTAATATGCTTCACAGACCTCAACACCTCCTCATCGATAATGGCTTTAGTAAGATCAATATTATCCTCATGACTAAACTTACAAGCCACCAGATTTCTCCAGTGGTCAAGAGAGTAGTTTGGAACCTGGTTAAACAGACTAATAAAATAATTATTGATCAAGTCTTTAAGTTGTTCAGGTTGATCCACCCAATCCCCATTATCCTTCTTGATAGGGGTGGGCGCGGGTCGGTTTAGTAAGATCAATATTATCCTCATGACTAAACTTACAAGCCACCAGATTTCTCCAGTGGTCAAGAGAGTAGTTTGGAACCTGGTTAAACAGACTAATAAAATAATTATTGATCAAGTCTTTAAGTTGTTCAGGTGGTATATCCGCTGCTCACCCCTACTTCTTGAGCATCTCAATCTTTTTAAGAAAAAGTTACGTTCATCTGCAACAAAGATGGACCAGTCGTACTACATGCACAGAATTTCTGTGAGAACTTCTGTGCACATACCTTCATGTAAAAGTTCATGTGCACAAAAATTTGGTGTAAAAACATTTCTCAAATTGGACACACAATTTTAAAGTATAGATCTAAAAGTTATTAATTCACTTTTTATGATGAAAAATGATATATAAACTTACTTTCTAGACCTATTTTCTTGACTCAATGATATAAAAGTGATATGATTAGTTGATGATTGAGAAGATATGAGAGAAAGTGTATATTCTAATTGATTGTCACATAATTAGGTTTGAAATTTTAGTCTAATTTTTGGACTTATATAACAATACCCTTTTATGATCTGTGTCTTAGCTGGATTTGGACTGAAATGCGAGTTTCAAGGGCTGAATATAGTCTCGCTCAACATAAGGCTGGGCCTGGAAGCCCAGGCCACTGCATCTCTATTGCTTGGGATTGGTAATTTAGCCCATGAGCTCTTATACACGTTTATTAATTGGGTTGGACTTGGTAACAGTCTTCAGCCCAAATTGGCCCGGCCCAGTTAATAATATTTTTTGTGAACTAATATAAATCTTTATATATTAATTATTTATTTATTTAAAGTAAAGAAAATACACTTGAGATGAAATTAAACTCACTAAGCTTTGAATTGTATGCTTTTTCTTCTTTCTTTTTATTTTAATAAAGTAATTATACTTAAAATAAATAAATAAAACAGGAACTCTAGAAGGCAAGTTTTTCAAATGGATAATATAAAACAAACAAAATTTTTAAATAATTTACTCTGTACAATGATGCGATACTTTGTCGTCCTTTCATTTCAAACAAAAACACTTATTATTTTACATATAAAAATTCCAATTGCGAATTACTTTCCTTTCCGAAGTATATTATGTATTCTTCGGCATGCATGTAGTTCATTTGCACCTAATTAAGATAGGATTTTCACATTCAAGATTATGCCCACCACTCTTTTACGCTCTAAATCTATTCTTTAGGTGAGAATTGTAAATTTAGAATTTCCCATAGATAGATAGATAGATAGATAGATAGATCAAATTGTCTTTAATCTCTGCATCTGCACAAAAGTAACTAATTCCCAAAATAACTTAAAAACAGTAAATTTATATGGACCTTAAAATTTCAAAATCTAATATAAACTTTCAACATAGATTGAACAACAGGTAATTGTTTCAAACAATTTACAGTCTCCAATGTGCAAACAAGGTTGGGTGAGAATGACCTACCAAAGATTTAGGGTCAGTTTTGGGGGGGAAAGTTGGCAAAACCGTCACTTTGAATCTCAAATTTGAGCTAAAAATTAGGGCCCCAATTTAGAAAAAATTCTTATAATATTTTTAGATCTCAATTAAATGAAGGCCTCCAAATTTTTAACATCAAAACTAACCTAACTCCAATGCTCAACACCAAACAAAAACAAAATTATTTTTTTAAGTGGTGGATTCCAATTACTTTGATTTCAACTTACCAAAACCTAACCAAATTTAGCACTTCATATTAAACCCCAAAACAACACAATTTTATTAATGAAGGATCCAAAGTAATTGATTTCACTTTACCAAATTTCTCTCCAACTTAATCCATCATTATGAGATTGAACTTTTTTAAATCTTAATATTCTCTCTAAATGCCTTTAGATTTTGTATCATTTCAAGTTTTTCTTCAATTGTTTGTTGGCATTACTTAAAAATTGAAATCTCTATAATTGAATTGATTGTTATTTGTTGAATAATGGAATACATTGTTTATTTAATCATACTTCCAAGAAAATATAAAAGAACTAATTGAATTACAATTACGAGCTCTTGGTTCAAATTTTGTAAGAAAAAATGCAAGAACTGTAATGCTCAAGTGATATAGGCTCCGTTTGGCAAGAGCTAAACGGAATTTTTTTTGCTATTTTAGCCACAAAAGACAAAATAAGCTATTTTAGACACAAAAAATAAAATATCACATCCAACTCATAATCATTACATTCTTCTCTCACAAAAAAAGTTAAAAAAGCCAAAAAGCCCTTCCCAAACCAAATTTTTTAGTCTAAGCTAAAATAGTCAAAAAAATCAAAAAGCCAAAAAGCCAACCCACTTCCCAAACGGAGGCATAGTGATATAATTCATTCAGTTTTTTTTTTTTTTAATTTTATATTAGTTCTAGATTTTTGTATAGTATTTTTTTCTTATGTAAATGTTTAGATATAAACAATAATACTAAATTTTATCCTTTAAAATTGTTGTAACAATTTTTTGAGTTGATTTTTTTTTTTTTTTTTGGTGACATGAAGAAATGTAGGGCCATGTTGAGTGTTCGCTTTACGCCCCTAAATGTTCAGAGCCGGCCCTGCAAAAACTCCTATGAAAGAAAAGAAAAGAAAAGATCTTAAGCAGAGGTATTGTCGTTGTTGGAAGTGTGGTTTTTCATAGGAGCTTGTCTGAAAGCACAGAAGGCGATGGAGAGGATGATGGTGACAAAGAGAGCCATGATGGCGTCGAAGTAGGCTTCTGTGGACCAGTCTTCCTTTAAGATCCTGATATAGCCAGCTTTGCATGAGCTGCAGTCATAGCACACTTGATCCAAATTGTTTTCCCATAAAAAGCAGTCTGAATCTTTGGAAGCAAGCCCTGTTTTTGGGATCTCCCAAAGAGTGTCATTCATGTTCACAAAACCACAATACAGAGGAGGCTGACAACAACTATACTGCATCAAAGAAAAAACAAAAACAAAGTAAATGTTTTGATTGATGCACTACCAAGATTTAAACAATGTCATTTTGAGCTGATTTCAAATAAGTTTTTCCCGTGCTCAAGGATTTAGATTTCGAATAGCTTGGTTCGATTTGCTGACGTAGGCACAAACAGGGCTAAATCCAGCAATTTTATTATAATTCTAATGTTTAAAAGAATCAGGGAACGATATACCAAAATGCTGATTTTGAAACCCACCTAAACAAGAAGTTCTAAGTTTTTTAAAGTGCATAATAATCAAAACATGCCTAAACATGCATGATTTCCCATCAAAGATCAAACACTAGGTGTGTTTGTTTCCCTTCGGTTTCAACATTTGAGTTGCGTTTGGATCTTTATTTGCTTTCCCCTCTTTTCTTTTCACTTCACAAATTTATGATCCGAATACAACCTTACAAAATTATCTATGGAGCATATACCAAATGTAAATTCACAACAGAAGATGAGACTCTTTCTGTCATGGAGTCTTCATAAACACCATGTTTAGATGAACAAAACCTGTCTCATCTTCTAGGTTTTCAGCTGTGTGTGTGTGTGTGTGTGTTTTTTTTTTTTTTTTGAGAGAGAGAGAGAGAGCAGTACCAGAATAGGTGATTCTTTAATCCGTAAATCACCATTTTCGTCCGGATCCTTTTCCAGAAGAAGCTTTTCACAAATCTGTCCTCTAACCATACATTTCTTGATGACATCCCATCTCCCTCCTTCCACGGCAAATCTCCTCAACCATTCCGGATACTCATTTAAATCATACTCCCTATGATCCTTTGTCGCCTTCTCAATGCTCACCTTCGACAAAATGAAAAACAAAATTGAGAAGCAAACAAGTGAGACTATCCAACCAAACAACATCCACACATAAGTCGACAGCAAGCACCGGTTGGCACGTATTGCACCAATCAAGGCCACCATTGAAAGGGTAAACAAGAAGGTCCCATAGGCTAGTCCTACCACCGGGCTTTCGGAATAGCATTCTTCAGGGGCTTGAGTGATTGCAGACAAGGTCAAGAAGATGATGAGGATCGACCAAAGTAGAGATGGCAAGTTCAAGACCACAACCACAATGTGGCTAAACCGCACCATCGTGTTTCAATAGCTGTTTTGTTACTTTCACAGCACATGATGATGATAATGATGATGATGAGTACAATGTGGGTTTTTTCTCTAAAGGGTATGAGAAAGATATTGCAAATTTGCAATATTACATTGGGTGGGTTGTTTTATTTCTTCATTTTCGATTTTGAGCAGATAGCGGCTGAGTTGTTTAAGATCCATTTCATAAATGGATGAGCAAGATGTGAAGAAACATAAAAATTAGTGTTGTTTGATTAAGAAGCTGAAATTACCCAAGTTAGTTTGACCAATATTGGGAGGTATTTTTGCTATACTGAGAAAGGTAAGTGCTGTTTTACCCACAAAACTGAAAATAAAAATAGTAAATACCTCATTTGAGCAAACAGAAAAAAGAGGATATCTCTAATTTTGCTATTTATCAATTGATTTTGTCAACTTTCACATTTGTCCAAAAATCAAGGACAAGAAACGACATCTATAACCAGAAAAGTGATCTGACTCATAACTAAAGGGGTGTTTGGGAACTTGGTTTTTGAATTTTTTTTTTGTTTTTTTTTTCACTACAAGACAAATGTTTTACAAAATCAAAAAAAAAAAAAAATCCAAACGAAATATCACATAAAACCCCCATAATCATTTCACTTTTTTTCTTACAAACATCACATTCAATCACAAAAAAACTTAACTATCTTTCCAAACTCAAAAAAAAAATTCTCCAATAATATCCTACAACTAAAAAAACTCATTTTTCAAACACCCACTAAGTGCGCTCAGTTAGTTAAATATCTCAATTGGACTGCTGCTTATGATTTTTATTTTTATTATTATTATTTTATGTGCCAGGTTAATTATTATAGTTTTTGCTTAAAGTTCGAGTAAAAATAACTTAAATAAGTTCAAAATGATTGATTATCCCAACGTAGAAAAAAATAAGCTTTAAGATTCAGCTCTCAACTTAGAATAATTTGCAATAAATAGAGCCATGTTGTCACAAGATTGGCAAGGTAGCCCTGCCTTGCAACAAAATTCAGAGTCATAGCACAATTTATTGCTAAATTTGCTATTTTTGCTCCATGTAACGCAGTCATGGTCCTTAGAAGCAAAATTTTGAGTAAATATTTTGCATGATAGTGGTATCACATGACAATATCACCAACCCATAAAGAACCTTACCTGACCTTGAAGCTGTGCCCATTTGGTTCCATTCTTATAATCAAAATCACAGTAGGTTGGAAGTTTGCAGCAATGCCACCAGAAAGAGAAAGAGAAAAAAAAAAAACAATTAAGGAACAAGAGCATTAAAAAAAGAAAAAGTTTAGGAACAAAGGAATTGGTCACAAGTAACCCTCTTAAACTGAAAATACTGTCTCCAGTGACACATTTCATGGATCAATAGTATGATCCATATCCATACACCAGAATTTGAATTGCAACTGAAATCCGAGTTAAGAATAGTTTCTACATTTTGATATACAATACATCAATTTTAGAAGAAGCATACTAATGAATATGATGGTAAAGCATTTGAAGATCTTTGCAGTGAATACACGTCCATGGCAGCAAAGGAGGGTCCAGGCAGTAGGAGTGGATGCAACGAATCTGGCAAATATGACATCTAACAAGAAGATCCTCAGGTTCCCGACAACAGCATTCACTACAAACTGGTGATGTAGAGGGCTATACAATCCCAATAAATAAATAAATAAAGAATTAACAAGGGGAACTATCAAACCTGAACGGAAAGAAAATCACATTTTGTAAACGTTATGCTCAGAAGAATTCAATTTTTGCAGTTGACCAAACTTGTTTGCAAACTAATGGACAACTAAAAATGTTCAAAAAGAGATTATTGTAAAATGAAAATGCTACTGATTTTGAGTAAAAGAAATGGAAAATCATATGAACTTGTAGCAAAGACAAGCAGAGAGATGGAAGAAAGGTATCACAAGAATTTCTCAAGAATAACACACAAAGAAGGTTACCAACTATAATTATGGACACCTACCTGGGGCCCAAAACTGGGTGTTTCAACATCAGGAAGAATGAAAATATCCATTGTTGAATGGTCACATGGGATTGTTTGTGAGTATATTTTCTGATCAGAAGAGGCGACATCGGCAACCTTTGTGATGCTCACAAAACTGGCCTTGCACAAAGGACATGTTGAAATCTTTCTCCTTGAAGCCTGCAGAAATCAATACCAAGTAAATGGGATAGATTAAAAAGGCATAGAGAATACATGCATTGACAAAAGCATGCCACACATATCACCAAAGACCAAGGGAATTGATTCAAGAATCCTAAACAAAAGTATGGAGTCAAAATAGAAATACAATATACCAAGTTTGATAGATTAAAAAGGCATAGAGAAATCATTCATTGAATCAAAATAGAGCAATTGTCAAAACCTAAAATTGCAGTACTTGCATTGCAATCTTAGATAATGACAGGCTGTGGTTGCCAGAAATATGCACCTCCCCTAGGAAATAACAAGTGTGATCATTTTAGAAGGAAGGACGTAAAGGTTTGTTCTTCATTTCTGTTTACTGTAGATTCGCTACTATTGCTCAAGTAGAGCTGTTTTTCTGTTTAGTCAAAAGATTTTTCCGTTTACAATTGGAATTGTTAGTATGTTAAGCTAAAGGTAGTTCCTACGCAATTACAAGGACTTCATGACCATTCAGATAATTTGGCTTCAAATTAACAAATTGCCTTTCATTGTAACTTCACTAAATCATCAAACAATAATTGAATTCCATTAAAAATAAAGATGAAAATATGTAACCATAGCACAGCACAGGGCATATTCAAGTCAAATTGAATTTAGTCAGCATGTCTTCTCAAAAGCTATATCCTCTTTGAAGTCCAACATGACACAAAATTTGAAGCCTTTCACCTTTATGCCATGTTTGTTTGGGCGGACTGGATTAGCATTCCCATGACCAATAATCCTAGGACTACGAATCCGTTGGATTATGTATCCTATCTTAACTAATAGTCAAGTTTAAAATAATTAGTCCGTATTTCAATTGTTTAACCAAACATGAGATTAATAATTTTATTGGACTATTAGTTCAATCCCAAACTCATGTCCACCCAAACAAACATGGCCTTAATGATTTAACATAGCAACTTGTTTGGCTAAAATTTGTCAAACTCAACTAATTCAACCCCTCTTATCCCAGCCACCTAGGGAAATTTCTAATGGACATATAACATAGGAGACTGAAATTTCTAATAAAAGATCTGTAACCAGAGATTTAAAAACTGCAAACAAGTGAATAAGCAGAGAATATACCATAAGGTCAGCCCAGCTCTGGATGCATGAGAAACAAAACCGATGTCCACATGGCAAAACACCCCTAGTTGAACTGAAATCTGTCCAACATATAACACATGATAAATCTGTTGATGTACGCAATCGTACTATATGTTCAGTCCCTTCTAAATTCTGGTTGACATTAGAGCACAAATCCCTTAAAGTTCTTTCCATGGTAGCTGGTGCATCCTTATTATGTAAATTCAAGTCACTGGGAGTAAGAACATCATTCAAATCTTCCAAGCCGTCATTTTTATTTTTCCCAGAGTCATTTGAACTGTCATCAGACGTTCCCCTAATTCTCAATCTCTTCTTATCCCTCATGTCATCTGAATGGCTAGATGGAGTTGCAAGATCATTATATTGATGGAAAACACTAATTGGGTTGCTCTCTTGCTCAGAATCCGAAGAAACAAACTCCACAATATTCTTTTTCACCAGCCTACGCCCTTTGCGAGGAGGTTCAGCTGAAGTAGTGCTTCTTTTCTGTCTCACCAATTGCGTAGAGGAAGGAGAACTTCGTTCTTCATTCTATTCCAGGAACAATAAAGAAGAAAATTTTCGAGTAAATTACAGCACCAAGTGGTAAGTCACAGAGTCTAGAGAGAAAAGAAAACAAAGACATAAGCAAAACTTTTCCACCATATATGGCCTATATGCAGAGGCATATGACTCTAAAACAAATGCTAATTACTTATTTCACCTCAGATTGCAACCAGCACAGACTAATAGGTTTTAGGGGCCAAAACAAAACTGTAAGGTGATATTTTCTGCTAAATTAATTTTTTATCTGTCTTATATTAATAATGCAGTTAACATCTATTTAAAAAATATATGTCCATGTTTATGTCCTAATTTATTATGTGTCATGAACAAGTTTACAACAAAAATTAACCTTTCTAAAAGAACAATGAATCAAAAAGGAATATATAAAACATAAAACTACCATCTTAAATAATCAAGGACAAAAGTTACCAAAAATCAAACACGGGGTAAAGTCAAAACTTGAACTTCATTTTATGTAACAGGCCAACTATAGTTTTTGAAACAGCATATTAGAAACAAAAGCAACTGGACAGAAGCTACATGAACAGCATATCAGAAAGAGAAGCTAACTGGATAGAAGCTACATGAATAGCACATCAATTTTCATAGCAAAGGCAACCATTTCCTTCTCCAAAATACTACAGAAAAAAATAATAATTATCCATTACCTCCACTCCAATTAATCTAGATAGAGGAAGCTCCGCATACCATCTGCTGCTAGTAGAACCATGCTTCAAACTTTTCTTAACTGTTTTTTTATCTAATTTATGAGAGCTATTGTTGCTTGTACCAAGCTCGGGAAACAAATTCTGTAATAGAATAAGATTAAAAAAAATCAAGATTCAACAATTAGTGTCAGGTCCTACAAATTTAATCAGTACCAAATAAAGCAGAAAATTTAAAGTGGTCGGTCAGAAGCATTTAACCTAAGTTTATAGCCAGAGTTTTGGATGAAAATGCAGCTAAAATGTTGATCATTGGGAATTTGACATCTATCAAACCCTCAATAGAACAAAGAAGGAAAAAATTAAGCATTAACTGAGTTCAATGATCAACCAAACAAGTGGTAGCAACACACAGTAATATCTACACTATCCTTTAAGATGGTTTGCAACCTGCAGGATTACCTGAGCTCCCCAAAATTACAGGGAAGACATCTCCCCTTCAAACAATTTGGTTAATTGAATCTTGAAAGTTGTCTATTAATTTCATGGTGATTTTAGAACTTGCTATTTTCAAAGGAATTCAGATGGTGATTTTAGAACTTACTACTATTTTCAGCGCAATTAGATTATTCAATGAATTAAATTAAATGGGGAGCAACTATATTCATGGTTAAATTGCATTCCTATGATAAGCATATCATTCCCATGAGATCCAAGGCCGTCAACCTTTGATGTTAAAGCATATAATTCCATCCTCCATCATGTTGTTCCTTTGTGTCAATATCCAGTTTTCCACAAGTTCGATGGGAAGAAAAATGCCCCACGTGCATGGAACAACCATAATATTTCATAAAATTTAAATTATTGATTTCATGGAACATGATAACTTTTGAAATCAATAATTAAACTGATAATACACCTTATAATTGCCAAATAAATGTCACTGTCTCTATGGGCTACACTAAGATAAGTTAGTTGTTCCCACAGCATGAAGATATGGAGATGTGTAGGATGCATTACAAAACAAAAACACCGGAGGAGCTTTGTGCTTAATTACAAATTACAAGCTTCATCCAAACAACAGAAACTTCAAACAATATCAAAGTTTAAACAGTAATACTCATATCATGAAGCAACCAATGCTTTGCAGCCTAAAAGCAAGATGTATAGTTCATTATCAATTATAACACACTTTAAAAAGTCCTCATTTGAATTTCTAATGTAGTACACGCATCTAATGTTCATAGTCGTCAAACAACACTCATCTGAATTCTTCTTTAACAGTACCAGCAAAAATAATATAGGAAAGGAATCATAACAGAAGTAAAAAAAAAAAAAAAAAAAGGGTTGTTACCTCACTTAGCAAGCGAGAACGAGTCCCAATGAGATGGCCAGACAATCCTTGTTCAATATCAATATCAGGTCCTTTATAGTGATTGTGTGCATTTGATTGATAAGGAAGCAAGAGACTCACCTTCTCAGTGACAAGTGGCAGTTCCAAGAGTAAGGGCCCAACTTCTTGGCCACTGCAAATTATCAAAACTCAAAATATTAAGCTTTGAATGGAAATACAAATGATAGTTAATATACAAATAAAGCATCAGTTACAACGTATAATTCTCTAAGTGAGAAGCAATAACCAGGTTATCAAAATATTATCTCCGCAGTTGCAGTGATCACATTATCCACATCTATAGGTTTAAAAAGTGGTGGAAAAAAAAAAAGGTGAAGAAAAAGCTATCAAAGAAAGAGACATCAATTTATTTTACCAAATGAAAATTCAGCCTCTGGTACAAGGCAAGTTTTTTAAACTTTTGGCTCTGGTTAGTATTCATACATACAAACATTATTCTATCATACACAGACAAATGTTCAGGCCAGATTTTAAATTTGCTACTAGTTGAAGCATTACTGCAGTCACCATTTTCAGTTATATAGATTACATTACATCTGCCTTTGTCAAGCGTATTCCAGCAATGCAAAAACTAGTACCCTAACAAATGAAACATATGATTAAAATATGTTTCAAGAAGTAATGAAAAAGTTCCCCTAATGCACTTCCCTCAAGGTTCCATTATTTCTCAAGATTTCCAGAGAAGAAATAATATAAGCATTATATAGAGGAGCATAAAATTGTTGACATATGGTCTGAAGTGACACCAACAAGTGACAACCATACAATTCATGCCACGCTCTGAGGTACCTGAATCTTAGAACTCCATTGGGAATTAATTATCAACAAAGGTGAAAAGTGACTGGATTCCAACCTCACCCTTGATTTGATTTTCCCTTTGCTTTGATCAAATCCCAGTATAAACAAGGCTCAATAAAGATTGTATCGACTTTGGACCCATTATATGTCCTGCAGTTTGGATTTGTTTTGTAATAAATAAAAAATAAAAAGTAACCAGCTAGCTTTAAAAGCCTTCTTCATTTGGTTGCTGAAATAATTATAGGAAAAAAATGATAAATTTGTATCTTAGGCAAAGATTTCATCCTTCAACCTTGAGTAAACAAAAACAAGAACACAACTCAGCAGAAAGCAAGAAGTTGGCTAAATCAAGGTTTCTTTAACAGTTGGTGTTGGCGGGAACCTAAAACAACACAAAATCAAAATCTACTTTTCCCTCTTTTGCATCCATTCCGAAGGGTCCGATCATAGCTTGTAAATACATAAGATTATTCTTAACTCACATATGCAAATCAATAAAACCGACATAATAAATGTATACTGAAAGCATATCAATGAATACCATAATTCTCCGTACCTCTGCAAAAGATAAGGCTGCTCGGGAACACGCCGTCCTTGTTTTATGCATTCTTCAACCCATCGATGGTTAACTATCAACATATTGAACAGCTTAGCAAGATCATATTTCCTTCCTTCAAATTTCCAACACACCTAATCATTCAAAAAAAAAAAAAAAAGTCTTTATAAAAACAACTGATCCAATAACTTCCATGACAACAACTATACAGGTTTTAGAAACAAATACTCCATAAAAACTGACACCCACCAAGTGCGTGGTGGACCGATTCATCGCTCCAACGTAGCTTGCACCAGATTGGGATATCAGCTTGATGAGCTTGAACCGCTCCGAGCCGTGGTACCCGCTGACGGTGGCGACAACCGATTCCATGCCTCGAATGGGAAAATTTACGAACTCTGTAAGATGAATATTACAAAAAAAAAAATGTATAAATCTGAATATAACAACAGACGTTTAAGAAGATTTGGGAATGAAACCCTAGAAAAGTTGAGATCGTCGCATTAATCCAGTATAATTGAAGAAATTGAGGGTTTCGTGTGTACATACAGAGAGAGAGAGAGAGAGAGAGAGAGAAATTAACCTTCGGAATCGTCGTAGAATTGATGGGGAAGTGATTCGTCTTCCATGGTTTCGTTTCGTTGTGGAGCTTTTTGCCGGGAAACTGAATTTTTGAATTGTTGCGACAATAATGTTAAAAGCTTAATTAATACACACGCACAGGCGGGTTGCAAGTCGGGTCGAATTAAATGCCCGTAAAAATTACGTATGCAGGTCCTGTTTGGTAATACTTTTTATAAATACAATAAAATAAAAAATTGATTTTGGCTTCAAATAAAAATTAACATTAATTTATTTTAATTTGAAAATTCAGCTGTTTTAAAATACAATCGCATAAGAATGTAAAATTAAATTTTTAACTAGATATAAACTATAAATAAATGAAAACTCAACTTCTTTTTTTTTAATGAAATTTCAAGGCCAAATATATATTTCTCTTCTTAATGAAAATTATGATTCTGATCTAGATTCCTCCATGAAAACTTCAAAATCATCCCTGAAATCAAATTACCTCTGAGAAAGATAGGATATATTTAGGCCTCTTTTTAAGACTTTAATTAAAAAATTATTATAAATTGTCATATCATAATCTTTATTTTTTTATATATTTTTTTCGTAAAGAGTTACAAAATTACTAAAATAACATATTCTAAAATGAGGCATTAATAATCTATCACTTCAAAAAGACCAACCATGTGCAAACTTGAAAAGTTCTTTTTTTCTATGTTCCAAGACGTAGAAGCTGGCGACCGGATTAATCAACCAGCATCAAATAATGTCTTTGGATGTAGACATGCATACACGCACTAGACTACCATTGGGAGCTTGGGCTGCTGCTGCTGATCTAGTTTCTGTTTTCCATTCAAACCATTCAGTCAAACGAGACATACAAAACAGAATTTGTGACAATTCTTTCTAGCTTCTACTACAAATTAAACCATGCTCTCCATTCATTCAACCCGAATGCCATCTCAAAAAGAAAAAGAGGAACCACACATGCACTGGCATTCAGATGCCACTTTTGTCAATGGAAATTCTGATAGTTGGAGAAAGCGTGAGCTAATTGCTCATCAAGAACACTGGCATACAAGAGCAAAACAGTGGGTATTGATGAGTACAAATATCCGTACAAAGTCTGCTTTAAGCAATGAATTACTTTAATCCACATCCTGCTCCATTCTGGTACTTGTCACTACCTTTATAGTACTTAAAACAAACTCAACAGAGCTTCTGTATAACGGGATGATGGCTTGAGGAAGGAAATAAAAAATAAAAATAAAAATAAAAAAATAGCAGGAGCTGCAATGTTATGGAAACTAGAAGCAAGAACTTGTCAAATGACAGCAATACTGAGACCAAAATCTCAAGCTCATCTACGAGCAGGGTTGTTTCCTCCTCGTGGTGGTGCCTCATACCCACCACCCCCAGCACGATTAGGGGGTGTTGTAGACCCGTAAGGCGCATTGTTAGGAGCTGCCACCTGTCCTTGAGGGTTAGCAGCACCTCTAGGTGGTGCATCATACCCACCACTTTTGCCTGTATCATAACCAGATCCTCTTTGTATGTCATATCCCGGTCCACGTTGTGCCTCATATCCTCCAGGTCCCCTTTGTCCATCATAACCAAGTCCTCTTTGAGCATCATAACCAGATCCCATCTGAGCATCATAGCCAGCTCCCCTCTGCGAATCATAGCCAGCTCCCCTCTGCGGGTCATAGACGCCTCCTCTCTGTGCATCATAGCCATATCCTCTCTGTGCATCATAGTTGGGTCCCCTCAGTGCATCATAGTTGAGTCCTATCTGTGCATCGTAACCAGCTCCTCTTTGAGCATCATAATTGGGCCCTCTCTGTGCATCATGGCCAGGCCCCTTGGGTGCATCATAGCCAGCTCTTGCAGAACTAGGTCCAGATTGAGCACCAGTGTGGGATGGAGTACCGCCAGCAGGAGCTGCAGTTCCACTGCCAGGGAGGGGGGCACGTCCCTGTTATGAATAAATGCAAAAATTCTTTGAGGTTTCAATTCTAGTTCATCGCCAAAATAAATCCTGATAGGGATAAAAATAAAAGAAATAATACACTCTCAAGAAACTGTGAAAAATGTCAGCACTCAGTAACCAAATTTCTGTAAGCACAAACTAACTAAATCTAGATTTTCAGTGTTCTCCACTTGTTGCTAGATATTTTAACAGGGAAAAAGAGACGAAAGAGCAGACACGACACGGACATGCCGACACATCTACTTTCAAAAAATACCAAGACACGACACACTTGAGACATGCTAAAATTTAATATTTTTACAACTTTGTTATAAGTTAATGTCATACATAAATAACTTATTCAAAGATAATGAAAATATATAACATAACAACACCATACGTCATATACAAATAACTTGTTTAATTAAGGCACATTGAAGAAGATAATTAAGATTAAGACACGCTTCCTTCGAATAACTGTCCATGCGTATTAGCTAACCACAGATCTTTCAGCAGCCAAATGAGGACAACAAATCCTGTGAAAATTCAGTTCATGTGTGGAGCAGATAGGAACCAGCTATCTGTTCCCCGCTATTAGGAATCGTTGCTTTCACAAACCGATGTCTTATCAGATATAATTTCATCTTTGTTCCCTGTTCTTTTGCTCTTATTTTAAAATTTGGTACATAAGTTTCAAGTGTACATCCAATCAATTTTTTCTTGCAGTGAAAATTTTATGAAGTACTGGATGTATCTTCAATATCAAAACAAGTTTTCATATTATAATATGCCCAATTACTCTCACGAAAGATTAGAATGTCGGAACACTCATCAAAACAACATGCATGTCACAAAATGTTGAATAGCACCTTTGGCGACAACAAACTCATTCGCCTTTCTAGGGTTATGAAATGAAATATGCAGAAACACTGAAGTTCAACTTTATAAAAAGACATTCAAGAAATAAGCGGAATAGCTAGTACTTCAGTTTAAAAAAACACACACACAAGTACAAATATTTCACCACAAACAAGTTATCATGCATCATTGTCCAGGTTTAGTTAACAAAGAGCAAAGTATAAACAAAGCCCAGGATGCAATAAAAGTGGGACAGAGCATGTTCATGATTACTATCAGCACCTCAAAAAAATTTTCAGTTGCTAGTTTTGAATTAGATTTTAAAACTTTCCCAGTATTGTTTTCATTATATAGAAGATGAAAACTAGACAAAACTTTCCCAGTAAGAAGATTTCAAACCTGAGGAACACCATAGCCATCTTCATATGTGTTTTGTCCTCCAGGGTAATGCCCAGAAACCTCATTCTCGCTGTAGCCAGTGCCAGCATAAGGCCCACCTGCACATAAACAAAATATGTGTCCATCTAAAATTCACAAGTACAAGAAAACAAGAACCCTGAAAGTCAAAGCAGCTAAAAAAATAGTAAAATTACCAATTCGTCTGTCAATGTTAGCATTTGTTAACTCTGCTCGAAGCTTTTCAACCTCCCTGGTCATGGTCATGTAATTCTTCTCCATCACCTGAAGGGACTCGAGATGTTCACTGTATAATTTCTTCTCATAGTCATAGGTAACCCTGCACAGACCACACGATAAAGGGTCAAGGCATTGCAATTTGCAACTTAACTTTTACAATAATAAATCTAAGAAAATAGCCATATAACTTCCAAAAATACCAATGAGATATTTAACTCAGCGTCAAAACTCATAAGAAGTCATTTTCCCTTAAGTTGCTCTAGAACACGGCATAAACAACCTGGTAAAAAATACCTGCAATGTTGATACTCCTGCCTGAGGCTCTCAAGTTCTGACATCATAGCAGGAATCTGCTGCGCCTCAGAGTGAGCCCTCTGAAGATCTTGAGTCAATTGTTGTGCCTTAGAAATAAGTTCCTGCCTCGCGACCACTAAACTCTGGGCATCTGCCCGTGCTTGCTGCAGCTCCAACTTAACGGGTTCTGCCGATTGAAGTTCAGCTTCCATCCTTGCAATTTTATCCATAAGGCCCCTCATCTGCTGTTCTCTCTCAGACTTCACAGCTCCTATCTGGGCATGCAATATCTGCAGCTCATGCTGTGCAGCAGCAAGTTCTTGTCTCAATGTACCATGGGTAGCTGCAAGCCTCTGGTTTTCGGTTGCAAGTTTTTGCATCTCCACGTGTTGGGCAGCAAGCTTCTGTTCCATAACTTCAGGAGGAGGAAACATGTCAAAAGGAGGGAAAGCACCAGGTGGTGGGCGCATTCCTATTCCTGAACTGAAGGCATCAGGATGAACCATGCCAGGACCAGGAAGAGGGCGCCTTAAATGATGAGGAGGTGGCATTCGACCTTTGCTTCCCATTTTAAATTCCTAATTTCAACCTGAGAGCATCGAATATATCAATTAGTATTTGACTACAGAGAAGACATGTTACCGGAAGCACGATCAGTTGCAATAATTTAAGTTTCAACTTTAGCTCTCAAATTCTTTTAATTTTTGAGTAGTCCCGAATTATAGGATAAGAAAATTAAACAACAACAAAAACATGAAGGAAAAAAAAAAAATGGGTACCCAAAAGAGATAAAGGACTACAACTGAGTCTCAATATCAACAAAAAACCAAAAAAATCAAAAGATCAGAACCATAGTGTAAGTTATAACAATTCTTTTCAATCCAATCAAAACCATATCTTTTCTTCTTTTTCCTTTTTCTATTTTAATTTCTCTATTCACTCATAAGAAAGCTCCATTGTAGTCTTCAATTATCAGTCGACAACAATCTGAAAATATGTTCTAAAAAAATCAATGAAAAACAACCATAATCCACTAAATTACATGCGCGTTTGTGAATGTATCGTGAACTGAAAAATTATAATTCGAAAATACTAAAAAAATAATAAAATTGAATAACCATAGGCCAATTATTGACGATGGATTAAGGGTTGCCAAAACAATAATAATACAAATGCAAGAGCAGATCTATCTTTAGGTTTATAAACAATTTGGTTGAAGAATAAAGGGATGGTTACCTGATCGGAGGTTTACTCTGAAAAATTGGAGACGAGAAGGGAAAGTGAAGACGAGGTCGAGTTTCGTCCCTAACCAAATAAACCCTAGCAAGCGTTTCGAACTGAGAGAGAAACAAGGCGCTGGTTCCAAATCTAGGTTAGGATTTTGTAACCCCACAAACCGTAGGTTAGGAACAGATGGTTTTAAGATTAAAAAATGTTAGAAATTTTATACATTTTAGGCCAAGTTTAGCTAACAAAAAAAAGTGCACTTATTTCATCTTTTTATTTTTTTTGGGTCACATCAATCAATATTTTCTCTCTACTTTTTCTACATATAAGAGCATCTCCAATGCACTAGGCATATAATACTTGTTAGTTAAAATGCCTAGTGTGATTCACTTTTTTCAATTCCAATGCACTAGGCATATGATTAGGCATTTTGCCTCAACTCATATTCACTAGCTACATGTAGCTAGCCTTCAATGCTAGGCAAAATGTATTCAATCACTAGGATCATTTCCCTCCATCTTTGTTGTTGACGTGGCATTCTATAAAATTAATAATATTTGGATAAATAGCTAAAATAAAGAGCATGGTTGGAGTAAAAACATAAAACAGTCGATAGGCAAAATAAAATATATACTTTATAGTAATATTTAGATAGGTAAAATGCCTATTACCGTTGGAGATGCTCTAATACAAAAAAAATCAAAAATACACTTATTAAATCTTCCCCAACTTAACCTTATAAAGATTTTTATCGATAATAAGATATTTAATTTTTAAGTGGTTAGGGTCGGTTAGGTTCCATCTTAAAATTAAGGCCAAGTTTGGGAAGACTAAATAAGTGTACTTTTTGACTTTTTATGAAATATGGGTTGGATTTGGGTTAGGTTTGAAGTGATGTGTTAGAGAGGTGATGTGACTTAAATAAGATGATGTGACTTAAATAGGATAGTGATTTTTTGACTTTTTGGATTTTTTAGAGGAGGCCAAACTTGGCCTAAATAAAAAATTTTAAGGTTATTTACACCAACTGCTCTTAATTATTAATAAGTATCATTATATTCCTTTCATTTATTAATTCGTATATTTTAATATTTTCAATTATAAAATTGTATTATTTCTATTTGTGTAGATACAACCCTCAAAAATGATATATTTATATAATTTTTATAATTCAGAAAGTTAATATGTATGGTTCATAAATGAAGGAGTGAAGTGATATTCAATAATAAATGAGAAGGTCTTAATGTAATTAATCTAAGATTCCATTCATATAAAAAATTACCTATTTTATTCTAAATTTTTTAATTTAAAATACCATACTTTTGTATGAAAATTTTTATTAAAGAAAAAAAAATCATCAATTAAAATATCTCATTAAGTACTTTTATTTGTAATAAAAAAAAAGTTAAAATTTTTGAAGGAAAAAAATACATTATATTAAGTTCTAGTTTTCCATACAAACAATTGAGTTCGTAATTCTTAATTTATGAGATAAAGTAATACTCGACAATACAATTTACCTCCGTGCAATCCTCATTTATTTATTAATTTCATTATTTAATTTCCAACAAAATAATAAATTTATTTTTAAACTCAATTAATGTTTGATTTAATCAATTCAAGACTTAATATAATTTTTTGAAGTAATAATTGTCAAAACATTTACATAATATGCTTATTTAATTAAATATTCAATACCAAATCATTAATTATTATATATTCAGTGTGCATTTATTATTTTTTGTATTACGTATTATATCATATAAGAAACATACAAATTTTTATGTTTACGGGCGCTGTTTAAGTGTGCAACCCCCTTAAGGTTGCACACCATATGCAACCTAATTTTTAGCCGTTAGATTACAATAATTGATCATGACCATTGAATTGTTTAATCGTGAAAAAGTTGAAACCGGGGCAACCGGTTAATTCTTGTATTTGCATGGTTGCATCCCACTCACTCTCTCTATTTCGTCTCTATCTCTCTCTGTTCTCCTCTCTGTGTAAGGTTGAGTCGGTGTAACCCTTGATTTCCATTAACGAAGCTCTGTAGGGAACATTATAACAGGCGATTTCCAACAACAACGGAACTACACAACTGTGTTGGTTCCATTGCTGAAGTGAAGGTGTTCTCTCAAACTAGATATGAGGTATGGAGCTGTCTCCCGCTCTCTGTCTCCCTCTCTCTTTGGCCTCTTCACTTCAGCTATTTTCCCTCAACTAAACCCCCATCCTAACTTCAACCGCTCTATGCTTCGCTCAAACGGAAACCCCTCCATTGGCAACTAACCTTTCTCTTTCTCAAGCGAGTGTTTGTGTTTGCACAAACAATTAAACCGTGTGAAAATGTCATGTTTGTGTTTGTGTTAAATTTTTCGGTCGTCAAGTAATTGTTTATACTAATGTCATGTGCAGTATGAGCCCAGCGGAAGTTAAAAGGAAATGTAATGATTATGACATTCCAAATGAAGTAGATGACATTCGTTTGGTCAATGAAAGTTGGGTGGAACCTTATCATGGTTGCGAAGCTGGTCCGAGCAATGAAGAAGCAACCAACATGAACGTTAAAGATGGCGGAGCCGATGTGAAACAAGAAATGGTTAACAATGCTCATCGCAATGACATGGTTGGTGATGTTGAACGTGTTATTCTTGAACAGAAATTTGATTCGATCGAAGATGGAGAAGCTTTCTACAATGCATATGCTAAAGCTAAGGGATTTAGTATACGAAAATCCAAATTTAATACAAATAAAGAGGGAAAGGTTGCTAGTAGGCTATGGTTGTGTTCACGAGAAGGTCAGAGATTACCAAAATACTTGGACCGTATTGCTGAGAAGAGTAGCGCTTCCAAGGCACTAACAAGAGTAGGTTGCAAAGCCCAATTTCGCATACGGTACGATGCAGATGCTAGTGAAGGGGAAAAGTATGTTGTGACTCACTTCGTCGCAGACCACAACCATGAATTGGTGGAACAACACTGTGTAATGTATCTGAGGTCACATCGCGGTTTAAACAGCGCTGACAAAGCTCAAGCAATGGCTATGCGCAACGTTAGTGTGAAGACTAGCCAAATCATGGACTATATGGTAAATCAATCCGGGTCTTATGAGAATGTTGGTTTCATCCGTATGGATCTGCACAACCATATTCAAGTAGAACGTAGAGCAAAAGTTGAGGATAGTGATGCGCACGGTGCGTTGGTTTACCTATGTGCAAAACTTGATGTTAGTGTACGTTTTTTTTACAAGTATGATGTGTGTAAAGATAACAAGCTACAAAATTTGTTCTGGGCAGATTCGAAATCGCGGGCTGACTACGCAAAGTTTGGTGATGTGTTGATATTTAACTCAACTTACAGAACCAATACGTACAAGAAACCTTTTGTCATGTTGGCTGGTGTGACTAACCACTTTAGGACCACGATATTTGCATGTGTTTTGCTAGCTAATAAGACAATTGATACATACACATGGGTTTTGAAAACATTTATGGAAGCAATGGGCAATAAAGCACCTGTGTCCATACTGACAGATGGAGATAAGGCGATGCGAGAGGCAATCAGAAGAGTATTTCCAAACACAAGACATCGATTATGTAATTGGCATCTTGGGAAAAATGTTGTTTCAAATGTTCACAAAAGTGGCTTTGCACATGCTTTCAAGCAGTGCATGGACATGGAAATGAATGAAGCAAAGTTTGAGCATGGCTGGACGAGAATGGTCAAAAAATTTGGACTACAAACCAACAGTTGGGTGTTGGAGACATATGAGAAGCGTTATATGTGGGCTGAGGCATATATGCGTGGACATTTCTTTGCTGAGATGAAGAGCACTCAGCACTCGGAGAGTATAAATGCTTATCTCAATCCCTTCCTCCAACACAAATTAAAGCTATATGAATTTGTTAGGCACTATGATCGGGCTCTTGCCAGGATAAGGTATAACGAGGCTGGAGATGATGCTGAAACAAATAACACTTTTTCCGATATTGATTACTCCATTGCGAGATATAGAGAGACATGGAACAGAGTTATTCACCCAAAATATATTTAGAATGTTCCGTGATGAAATCTTAGAAAAGGGGAAGTTGAATGTGAAGGACGTGTTCCCTTTGTCGGATGGTCAGAAATGCTACTATATTCATAAGTACAAGGTGAATGATAGATCATAGATAGTAACACACAATCCAGTGGATGCTGCAATGAGATGTTCTTGCATGAAGTTTGAGTTGTTGGGGCTACCTTGCTGTCACATGATATGTGTTATGAAAGCCGAAAATTTAACGCAAATTCCCCCAACTTGTGTGCGGTATAGATGGACAAGGGCTGCAAGCAAGGATGACCAGCAATGGCCTCAACCCTCAATTGATAGCACTACAACACAGACAGCTCGACATGGGATATTGAGTTCTTTCTACAATGAAATGTGTTTCTATGCCTCACAATCAACGGAAGGTTTCAAAGAGGCTAAGGATGCATGTCTTCCGATGACGAGCCGGATGAAGGAGTTATATAAGAGGAATCTGAACGATGGGGATGAAGAGAAAGGGAAACATTCAATCCCACGACAATCTGGAGTAGAAGATCCTGATCTTGTGAAGACAAAAGAGAACCTGGGACGGGGCCTCGTCCAACTGTCAAAGACCAAAAAAATGTGGGAATTGCCAATGCATTGGGCACACAAAGCGAACGTGTCCTAAGGTTCAGTTTAGCCGAACAGTGGGTAGTAACTCAGATGCAGATACAACCCACATCACTGACCATGAGTACAATGTAGAGTCATTGTCCATTCGTTGCAAAACTGGGTTGGTGGATCCAAGTACACCGCACATTAAGAAACAACGACTATTTTTCAATGTTTTTCCTGATTCCAAACAGCCTGTGGGCCAATACGATAGTGTCGAAGCAGCAATGTGCAAAAATGATTCGACCACAATTGATGAGGTGAATCAGGTAATTGTATAATTTGTATGATTTACTTATTCCCTTAATTTATTAGGTAGACGGTACTAGCTATTGAAAACACATCATTGCGAAGAACAGGGTAGATATGTATATAGTTTTCATTTTGCACGGATTGTTGTACGTAACGTACAATGCCAGGAAATGGCACAACGTTACTTATGTACAAGGCCACTATTTGTAAATTTCCCATATTGTTTAGGGTGATGTTGTCATTTGTGTTTGCAGTGACTTGGCATTTTGAAAACTAATTGAAGGTGAGATATATATGGGTTGTATGTGTATTGTTTTGGGTTGAAAATTGGCTTATGTCTGTATTCCAAGATTCCTATTGCGAGTTGCTTGTTTCTGTTCCATATTTGGTTGGATGTAACTGAAGGATTTTTTGCGGTGTGGTTTATCAACATACGATGTGTTTGGCTTTGTATTGATTTGTTATGACTTGTTTCGATAAATTAGTATTATATTTCAAGTAAAATACGAATTTTGTCCATGTGGTTTTGCAAAATTACATCCCAGCACATGCATTTTGTATATAATCCAAGTGGCAATTAATTTTGGGTGTTACTTGGAGAAAGTAACCCAACGAACTCGTTTACTTTATCTCTATGCCGATTGCTATATGAATTACGAGCTACGAATAGGAGTTGTGAAATTATTTCATGTTAACTATGAAAGTGGATTTATTGTTAGTGAAATTTTGGTCGACCTATATCGACAGCAACCAAGTAGTAATTTAAAGTTGATAAGTTAAAGAAGAAAATCAAGCAATTGTGTTATTGGTTCGAATGCCTGAAAAGGATGAAGACTTCTTTCGATGAACTGATGGTAACAAAGTAAACAAGTAAAATGAACTTTCTGAAATGAGCTGATGGTAACAAATCGTAGAAGATAAACCTTTGCTGATTTGAGATTGAAAACACCAAAGTTCACCTAGTGACAAAGTACAAATGAGAAGGGAAAAAACTACTCAGAAGTTACAATGTAGAAAGTAAGTTGTTGTGTTGTTGTTCATGTCCTCTCTCTCTCCAAACCTTCTACCCTTTATAGCTCTTATTTCCCACGACCCCATGATTTTCCGAATCTCCAACTACTTTTGTACAACTTCTGTAACTGCACGGTCATTTCCATGTCTTGAAACCACATAAAACCTTCACTTGTACCTGTCGAAGTGCATATTATTGAAGTTGCCACCTGTGCCCAAGTCCTTTTAGCCTTTCCTCGACAAATACAGACTCCCAATTGGTTCATGCTTCCTTTTGCAGACTGGCCACTAAATCCATGAGCATTGCCAGTAACTGCTCCACCGTGTAAGTCAGGTGACATGCAAGATTCAATGTTAGTTGATAACCCTTGTCTTCAGGTGGACTTGCCATGTGTCCTCAATTGAATAGAGCAGCTATTGGCAGGATGTGGGAAAAATAGGTGCAAAGAGGAATTTTTTAAAAATAACCAATCATAATTTAGCTGAAAATATGAGTGAACCTTTTAAAAAAAAAAAAATAGTTTCCATTTTTTTTATTATAAACCCGAGATGTATATTTTGTTTTCGATATAAATAAGTTGTGTATTGTGATTATGTAAAATGTAGGATAACAATTGTGTTTAAGTCATTGCAATCCAGAAAAAGGTTATTTCAAATATTAACAAGTTTACCGACATTGAATATATTGATTAAATTACAGGGAAAATTCAATATTTGGCAGAGTTTGATGATTCAAAGTCAGGGGGCAGTTATAGTGATTGGCCAAGTGTTGTGGTTCAGTGGCCCAGTTTGCAAGGATTGTGGTTGTGTTTAGTGGACAATATTATGTCGATTTTTGTCTCATAATGATGAGGGACATGCCCTACAATGGTGAAAAGGAAGGTCGACAGGGAATAGTCAATATTTGGCAGAGGGGACTTGAAGATTCAAAGTGAGGGGGTAGTTACAGTGGCAGTTATGGTGTAGACGTGTGATGATGGGCCACAAAAACAGTATACAGATATCAAAACCCATCATCTCCCTTCTAGGCTCTCCAAGTATACTAAACCTCCACTTTTATCTGTCAATCTCTCATTTCTTCTGTTTATTTCATGGCCACCAACTGTTTGAAACTTCT